ATATTTAAAAAAACAAGCTCTCAGGCGATTTATTTCGATTGTAAGTATAAAATATATTTTTACTCTCGCAATGCAGTTTTATTTCAAATTTATTTTCTAACAAAAAAAAATCAAACTCGTTTTTGTCAAACTTAACGAATACAGAGTACGTTTAAAACTCTTTTATATTTTATATATTATTCTACAGTTATTTTCCGGCATAAAAAGCCAGTGACTTCTTGTTTGAACGCTAACTCTTTTGCTGACTAACCAGAAGCCATATAAATAAGTAGTGCAGATGTAATTCGAAACTTGACCGCATTTTGTGCAACAAATGCAAAGCTAAAGGAGAAGAAAATTGTGCGAAGTCAAGAAACTCTCTTACAGAAAACGGCAGTAGCGGTTAACGGTGAAATACTTTACTTTTTAAATAACTTGATATGTAATTAAATAATTCGTATTAATTCGTTAATATGTGTATCGATAGGTAATAGCTTTAAAAATAGCATACTGGCATTAAATAAATCGATGTCTAAAATAGTTTTTGAGTTCCAGGGTTCTAGTGCAGTCAGAAGTATAGCCGTTCACTTCAATCAACTCGATCAGTTTATCTTTAATCGCGTTTTTCTCAAAACGATATATTTCAAATATGCTTGAGTGAGTACTCTGAAATAAATGATCCAATCACGATCACAATTTTTGCATGTTCTTATATAGTTCTCCGTACAATGACCAAGCAATTTGATTCGTATGTTGACGATGGTCAGTATCTTCTAGTAGAGAATTTGTTTTTCAAGAGCACTGCAGCTGTGGAGCACCCTTTTTTTGAAAAGTATTTAATTTTTTTCTTTAACAGATTTACTGTGTATTCCTAAGTATATACTTTCTTAAAATATATGTCCTTAAAATTAATTTTTTTTTAATTCCCAAAAATCGAGTTATTTTAGACTGTCACTATATGTGAAGCTCGGAAGATTTTGAAATATTAGTGGAAAATTTTAAACTTACTTTGCATAAAACTATAGCAAATTAAATAACTTTTATTTGCACTTTTTCTTTCTATATTTGCAAATTCGTTTGCTTGTGCATTTAATTACAAGCGAAACGCTTATCAACATAAGCGTCAACTGATTTCTTCACTTCACTGATTCTACAATACATAATCTAATACGACTGTCTAGTGGAATTTGATGCAAAACAAACAAACAGCGAAAACATCTCAGGGCTAACTAGTTAGATTATCAAATGAGCTTATCTCACACATTCAGTGCAGATGTGTAAGTATTTGTGAGATCGGAGATAGGAAAAACAAACACTCAAACTTCAAGGATTATGAAATTTTAGACCTTTTTCATTTTCATGAAGATTAAAATTATTTTCTGCTGTTCACATATTCACGTATATTGCCGCTAGGCCATTGGTGTATAAAGCGCACGCATTGGTCACCAAAAAGCCGCAAAAAGCAATCTTGATGAAGGTGCGAATCACCAGTGACAAGTTAAGAGTCCTTTATTGCGCGCAGCACAAACCATAACACACACACGGGTGCTCACTTAACGCGCCACAAACAGTACCGTTACTCGTGCGTATACATATGTCCACCCACCTGGAACCCATTAGCGCCATCAGATTGCCCGGCTGCACCGCACCTGTCGAGTTGTTAATGATGCGCTTCATTTTGTTTAAATTGCCGCCACCGCTCGGTCCATTCGGCTCGCCCGTCGTGTAGACGCACAAGTCGCGCCACACCAATGTGGCACCCTGCTCGGTGGGCGACCACTTGCTGTAGCTGCGCAGGGGCAAACTGCGCTCCGAACTGTTGCGCGTTGAGGCGGTGCGCGGCGGCGTGGTGGAAATGTCGGTGATGGCAATTCGACTGCCGGCGCCACTCGCAACAGGACTTCCCTCGGCGCCGCTGTTGCCATTCACACTGCTGCTCCTAGCACGCCCATTATCATTGCTGTGCTTATTATTACCATTGCTCGGTAGTCCAACAACATCCTGCAACTCAATTTGCTCAGCAGCATCCATGTGGATAGTGTTGTTGTTGGCGTTGGGGCAGGTTTTCACGTTCGTCGTGTAGTCAGCGTGTGGCGGATCAACGCTGCGGGTTTGCTCCATTGAGATGAGATTATCTGTTGACATTTTTATTGTATCCTTAAGGGATTTATCAGTTTTGTCTTATTTTTGCCGCACTTTCACTTTGCACAATTTTCACAGCAGACTCACACACACACATGCACTCCTGTCCGTCAAGTGTTCATTTGTAGTGGTTTAACGTGTACTGGCAGCGCTCGCGTGTTTGCTTGGTACCGCGCGTGGCGAACAACTGATTGTGGGGTTTCTTCGAAGCTGCCTAGGTACCATGTGAGGCAAACACACGGATCTGTGGAAAACATATTTAAATATATGCGAACGTACTTGCGTTCACGGCTTGCAGGCACAGTAAGTGTGTGTGTATCATTGAGTCGTTTGCTTTGGGCTAAAGCTCAACAGTAAACACACGTCTATCACCTAATCCCACAGTCTGAAGATACGCCTGAGTGGTATTCTAACTGTTATGTGGATATCTAAGTATATACCTTTGTTTGTACACACTTGTCACCTGTGTATGCCAAACGGCTTGTTAAGCAGCTCTTTTGGAACCACTCAACATAACAGTCATTTGCTGGAAATGTGACAGTCTAGAGAGAGGGAGCTGCAACTGACCTAATTATGAAAGAAGATTTACAAGAGATCAGCTCTATTAGATTTAAGGTGCCATAAATACTATTTGGGGATAAGGCCAAAAGCGTTTTGACATGAATTACATATTTCTCAAAATACAACGACTACTCCAAGTGTCCGGTAGACGAAATTGCCTACTCAAAGCAACCGCTAATGCATGTAGATGGAACATACATGATAATTTTCGTCATTTTGCCTCGAACCTGGTTTGAACCAACGACCCATCAATTACTAAACAAACGATTGGCTATGTTGGCATAGTGATTTAAGAGTTTGCGGCAAATGCCGAAAGATAACTTTGCTCAGTATGCAACGAACAACTCAATCCGCGCAATGCATTTAATAGCTTTGCAACTGCAAGATTCTTTTGGCCTTGAGTTCAACACAGGCGATCTTCTGAACTACTTTCCCTTAGCAAAGTTCATCTTGCCGTAATCATTGATGTTCTTACATTGTCCAATAGGCATTCATACGGTAAGGCTAAAAATTTTGGCAGACGCAAGTTGTCAAAGCTGTATGGAATAGGGTGAGGTCGAAACATTCAAGCACTTTCTCTTCCATTGTCCAGCCTTTGCAAGACTGAGGTTGAAACATCTCAGCTGTCTTACCTTCGGCGAACCAGGAGACATAGTCGAAACTGACATTGGCCATCTTAACAAATTTATGATAGGCTAAAAGTGCTTTGTCGATTTGTAAGGGTCTTATGATATTATATAGGAGTTTTAGGTACCACAATGGACCGGCGTACTATGATATCCAAGTGAGACTCCTGTTTGGAACGACTTCTTAACTTAATCTAACCAAACCATTCGTAATAGTAAATCTAGCCTAAAATGTGTAAAACAAAACGTGGCAGCATCAAAGGTAGCGATTATACCACATTAATGGTGAATCTTTAAACCAGCTTGTATTAAGTCAACACGATAACTTTGTTGTTGCTTCAACATCTGAATTTTTGAAAATCGTTGTCAGGTATTCGAAGAAGACGTTATACCGATTGCACTTAATCAACAGTTTTGTACATTGAATTTATGTTAGCCTGTTAAATCGACCATTGCTTCGGTGGGATTTTTTCAATGAAATGAGCGGATTAACTGAGCTTTTGTCCAATTTACCGCCCATGTCATTAATATTAACTATATCAAAACTATCGATTATTAACTGTATTCACAACTTAGCAACACATTGCTAAATGTAATTGTATGTTTCAATAAAATGAGAATAAATTGTCTCGACGACTGCTCTTAATTCTAATATTTGTGTATTTGTATTTAAATTCCGATCTCACCTCGATTGCATTTTTTGCAAAAGAAAAACACGAATTTTACTATCTGGCGTTATCACTATTTACTTCGACTGTGAACGGACTTCAAATGCCAAACGCCGCAAAATAATAAAATAAATTCATTAAATTTTCAAAACGTTAAAATGTATTTACTTTTAAGTGCCAATACAATTGTAGATTACTAATATATATTTTTATAAATTAAAAATGTACAAGTACTTCATTTCTACTTTATGGATATTTGTATTTTAATTCCGATCTCACCTCGATTGCATTTTTTGCAAAAGAAAAACACGAATTTTACTATCTGGCGTTATCACTATTTACTTCGGCTGTGAACGGACTTCAAATGCCAAACGCCGCAAAATAATAAAATAAATT